GTGAAGTTAAATTCTCTTTAGAATAAATTGCATCTTTAAAATTATTCCATGTTCCATCTGGTAAAGGGGAAGATTATTTAAATCTGTAGGTGTTTGGTTTAATTGAGTCAATTGTAATCCATGAACCAAGGCTAGTCTTTTTAAAGAGTCACTCCATTGACTTGAGCACAATACTTCACTATTAGTTTTTAGAGGTAACCAACACCAATTTGTGAGTTTTTGAGCGAATTCGTCCCAGAATGGCTTATATCTTTTTACATTCAATGAAGTTTGTGATGGCAAGTCAGAAGATTTTCAATAAAAATTTACTATTTTTCAAAAAAATATTTTCTGACTGTATGTTTGTGAAATTAAAAATTAGTTTCCAACTGCATGTTTGTGGAATTACGTTTCTCCACATTGTCTATTCCCTCCCACGTATTTTCACATAAATTTTTTCATAACAATGGTGCACATACTTTTAAAAAAGTCGAGATTGATATATAAAAAGTTTCTTATGGTTTTCCATTCAAAATTTTATTTAAAATTTCAACTGACAAACCATTTATTATTAGCATTATTATTATGGTTGTATAAAAGATGGAAATTTAATAATAATATAATTAGTGAACAATTAATTGGGCGTGTAATCTTTGGTTCGTTTGGTCATGTGGCAGTACCGTGCAACTTTATTGATGATTGAAAATCAAACATGAATAACAAATTATCGTAAATTATTTTTTTAGAAATTTATTAATGTGGGTGGGAGAAAATTTGATCGAATTAGTGGGTGGGTATTTCAATTTTTAATCCAATTGTTTGTCTTACGAACTCTTTGTCTTTGTTTTGCGTGAAAATGAAATCTATGTGAATTTGCAATTCAATTCACGTACGTGAAATTCAAATTAGCCAATCAGAATTTCATATCCAAACACCCCCAAAATTTTATTCAATTTCACATACAACATCTTGATTGATTTGATATGATATGATTAAAGATTAGATCTTTTTCAACTCGTGACATAATAATTTTCATACCATACATTATTAATTATATACTATATAAAATATAATAAATCATAGTAATATTAATAATACTAACACTAACCTTATCTGATAATAATTGACGATATAATAAGAATAATAACTACATATTTGATTTTCTTGGCACATACAAAATAACATTTAGAAAGGATGAATTATTTTTATCATTTATTATGTTATTGTTATTATTTAAAAGTATCATTTATTAACATTAGTACTAATATTAATATTAAATATTAATAAATGATACTTTTATTGGTTGATAATAAATAATAACAATAACAATAACAATAACAATAATAATAATCATAGTCATGTCGTCGTCGTCAAAAAAAAAAAGAAATTAGAAATTAGAAATTATTTTTTGGACGTACACATTGCTGTCCGCTAAAAATTTCATTGTTATTATTATTATTATTATGCTTGTAATCATTTAAAATACTTATTTTTATTTCGATATTCATATTTCCAACACTTGTATTTTCATAATTTTTACTTGAACTTGCATGTTATTACTCTTCCATTGTCACTAAAGTATTGCCATGAAGATCTCACGTGGTATACCTTTCTCATCATGTTTTTCTGGCTGGTGGTTGATGAATTATTGAAAAGTTTCAGAATTAGTTGTTAGACATCTCCATAAACATGAGTTGGCTCATCCTCTAACGTTAAATCAATTAAATCACTAATACTTCTAAATTAAGAAGATTATGAATATCTGTAATTGTTAGAAATGTTTGAAATGATTATGAATATTCGAAATATCTGAAGTAATCAAATAATTATCAGTTACTATTACTATTATGAATATTCGAAATAATTATTACTATGAATATCCAAAATAGTTACGAATATTCGAAATAGTTGCGAAATAAATATCCTTGAATTAATTGCCCTTCTTAATAAATGATCTGTAATGTCATGATTAGTTTTTCATAGTTGCTATAATTAACTTTAATAGCTGCCAAAATTATTTCCGTAATTATTGAACTCTTTAAGTCAAATTGCATATTAATATATAGTTATTTTATGTTCACTTTTCTCCCAAAAACAATTACGGCAAACTACTATATTTTTAAATTTTTCGGCCAGGAACACCAATGGCCAATTGTATTTCGATCACGTGACTTAGCCGTTCACAATAGCAAAGGAGTATAAATGAGAAAAGAAATTAAAATTAAACCAAATCTTCATTAGTTATTATTCGTATAAAAAGCAAAACTGCAAATACTTACTTATCTTACACAAGTGAATCTTTTTGTGGCTGTTATTCTATTATATTATAAAACCTGTAAAAATCAACTCTTGTGTGAATTATGTGATGGAAAATTGTTGATTCCGCTGCAAAAAAAAGTTTCCATCACCAAAAAAAATAAATCAATAATGAATAAGGTGAAGAAGATGCCAACATCGGAAATGGTGAATAAATTTAGGTCAGGGAAATCAAAAAATAGGTAATACTCATCAACGGCTTTGCCCTGGTGATTTTTTACCTTATATTTTTTTTTTATATATAAATTGATTAAAATCACTATATATTCTTCTCTTAATTGAGTCAAAATAAACACTATTATCTTTTTTTTGTTATTTAACCATTTCCTTGAATGTGAATGCATTTGTCTCCATATATTGTATATGTCCATTATAATCTTCATGGATTATGATCCGATTTTGAAAATGGCCATATAATTAATAATGCACATCTTATCCAGGTCTCTGGGCCCACAAAAATAAATAAATGATTCTGCTCCCAAAGATTATTTTCCCCAATTGCATGCAATCACAAGTTGTAGAGCTCCTTAAAATTATTCACAAAAAATGAAATGAACAAATCTGATATTAATTATATATAGGAAGGGATGGCATTAGACAGTATACGATATGTTCAAGGTGTATTGTAATTTGACATTCTCTATGATGGTAAATCAGATGCTTGAGTGAAAGTTATGTCTATTTGTGATGTCGTTGTTGACCTTACACTTAGTATTATTGTCAATGTATATGGTGGTGGAGGATTTGAAACTACAGAGGCAGGATAATATCCGTGTCCAACATCAACTCTGATCGTAGGTGTCAGATTTAATAAAAATTTCCTTTCACAAGCAAGCTCCTCATAACTACAGAAATGATGAGGAAGCTGGACATCCTTAGAATCCCAGAGCCATGTTCTCCCTCTGAAATTATTGTATCATCAGAAGACGAGATCAGCATTCCATTTTTTGGTATTCCTAGATCGTCAAAAGCAGTTTTCCATATCAGAGAAAGAGAAATCTTCAATGGTTAAGTTGCTTTAACATTTCTTGTAATTATTTAATGTTAATAATGATCACGCAAAACAAATATACCAATCGATTGTTTATTATCACAATAAAGAATGTTATTACCCATCACTGCGCGATGTAAAAGGCATGACAGATTTCGCCTCATGTTTACTTGAGATAAAAAAAGGGTATCAGTACGAAAAAAAAACCTCTGGATATTAACAACAAACAACATATTTTCTCCAGGACTATACAAATAATACTTATGTAATGAATGAATTGAATGCATGTTTTTAAAATAGGAGTTGTACAACACCTTTTTATTTACGTGATTTACGGGTTTGATTAATTAGTAAGTATTATCAAAGCCAAGGAACTTAGGAGCATTTCTAGTTTAACTTTAATTGTTGTTTAATTGTAGTTTGATATTCGTATTTACTTGATGATCAATCAATATCTAAATATTACCACACAACCTGATGACCGGTTGAGGGAGGTAGGCTTCAGGGAAAGCCAGCTTGAAGCAATTAATCAGGCATTAGATGGAAATGATACTTTTGTGCTAATGCCAACTGGTGGTAGGAAAAGTCCATCTATGTTACCAGTTGTCTGCGTTGATTAAAACTGGGAAAACAAAAGGAGTTGCAATTGTTATCACTTCTATAGATAAATTTTATATTTAAAAGGTGTGGTATAGAAGCATTGGGAACAAGAAGCTTATGAAAAGGAAAAGGTTTGCGTTGAACTCGAAAAAGATGCAAGGTGTTATATCTAACACCTGACATTTAGTGATATGGGCCAGCCAAGGAATTTATTGGAAGAAATTTATATTAGTCATGCTATAAAAAAGAAAGGGGGGACCACAAATAAAGCAATTGATTAATTCTAATACTGGTAGCAAAGCAAAAGCTCAATCTGAAGAAATGGGCATTGCATAATAATAATTTTAATAATAGAAAACATTGGACTAAATAACATTAGTAGTATAGTAATTAGTAATAGTAGTAGTTATACATGCAGCCCAAAGCGTTTTGCTAATGCAAAAAGTCAAAATTATTCCAATGTCAAAAGTCAAAAGTACACTGTTAAAACATGAATGTAACACCCCTTTATGAAACATGTGACACTATGTCAAAATACTTTGGGCTGCGTGTATAGTTGTAGTTTAAAAGTTCATAGTTATAGCTCACGGCTTTCGTAATGTGAAAATTATTGAGCTTTTGACTTTGTCAATCTGCTCACAAGAATAAAAGTATAAACGAACTTGGAACATAAGCACAGGTACCTCTCAAGAAATTGCCATCTGAGAATATGTATAGGATGTGATAATGTGAATATGGAGGGTTGGCATCTAAGATAACAGTATGTAATCTAATTATGTAATTATGCACTTTTAGTGCTTCATCCTTGATACTAGCAAAGGAAGTATAATGGATGTCTTTACAAAAAATAAATGATGACATTTAATGTTCCTTCTGATCCCACTTGATGATGAATTATTTAATTATCTGTTAAAATACCACAAAGTGAGTATTTGAATCTTCTGGACATATCGTCTGTATTCTTTAGAGTCATCAGTGACTGATAATATGACATACCTGATATGGCATATATGACCTGTCATAGGTCATTAATAAAGGGTATATGACTTATGACATTGTGTATTTTTTGGCCAACCAAAATTAATTATTATTAACAAGTTATCATTACAAGTTATCATTCATTATTTTCAAATAAATTTCTTAATCTCACTCCAAAGAGCAATAATTGCATTTCATCATTCTCCGAAAAATCATCATATCTTCCCTGAAATAATTCTCCTTCAATTAAATCATCATTGTTACTTTCATCTAATGACCAGGAACAATCAGTGTCGAAATATGGAGCTGATTTATTTGTCAATTAATTTGATAATCTCTCTTTTGGCATTGGTATAAATATCACTGCGAATTTGGCTCATAGTGAAAACTTTATTATGCTATATATAATAAAATCATATTTTTTTGTTAAATAAAATACATAGTTTTTCCCATTGATATAAAATATCCCATTAAGGCCACAAACGTTCTATAGATGCTGAATTCACACAAACACTTTGAATGCGGATAACCAATTTATCTAGTTCAGGCTCAATTTCATCCATTTAGTGAATCATAACCATATAAATTTACATTTTATATTCAATAATTAAAAAAGTGCTTTCGTACTCAAACCATTAGAAATGCACATCCTAAGGAACATTTTTTTTGGACACTGGTCTCCTTCTAAGATAAACCAGAAATTAATGGTCACTTGTAGTATTTTTTTTTTTTTTTTGCGTTTAGTCTTATTCACCTTTTATAATCAAAAAATAAATATACCGATTATCAATTATCACTAATCATATTAATCATGCTCTTTCTGTTTTATGATAGTGCTCAAGCTACTGCTTTAATAGCTGGATGTTCTATAACAAATAAAGTCAATCTTTGCCGTACTCATTTATCAAATTTAAAGATGAAATTCTATTACGTCAATAGCAGAAAATAGAAATAAGGATTCAGGTGATGTCTTATTTTCGTGACTATTTGCACACTGGCTTTTTCATTAATTTTATTATTTACCAAAATAAAACTTCTCTGTAACTATGCGGACCAGGCATTTTTTTAGATTCATAGTATATATATATAATAGCAAAAAGTTGAGGGGTTTCGCTAATTTTGATTGGTTAATTTGTTATTTGAAATTTTAATGATATTTTTAGACATATTTACACATTATTCACCATTATTATTTTAAAATAATTAAAATTAAAATTAAAATTACAATATCTAAATTTAAAATATTTAAAATTGACAAATTAAAATTCGTTAATATCCAAATAAAAAGTTCTACTATAATTATCAATAATTGTAACTTTAGTTGAATTTACAGGTTGTGGAAGATTTGTAAATTTTAATAATCTGCTGATATAAACAGCATTTGGATGAAGGATCAAATCTAATCTTATCCATTTCGTCAAGTATTTTTCTATTTGCCCTTAATTCATCAAGCTGTTCTTTAGAATAATTACACTCATTATCATATTCACTCTCAGTATTATATATTAAATCATCTTGAAACGCTTTATACCAAGACCAAGTAATATATTCAATTTCTCCAGCAGATGGACGTTTATCTGGATCAGCATCCATGCATCTGTATGCTAATTCAATATAAAATTTTGGGGTGTTGTTAGAGAATCCTGGTCTTATCCCTTCACATATTTTAATTGCAAGACCTATATCATGTGCAAAATTAGTAAAAGGTTGTAGTCCTGTTGAAATTACTGACATCAATATGCCAAAACTATATATATCTGATGCCATAGTATATGGTTTGCCATTTAACACTTCAGGAGCTAAATATGGCAAGACTCCATTAATTCCATTTTCATTTGATGTTGATGTTTGATTAGCTGGAATTGATAATCCCAAATCTGAAATATATGAAACAATACCATGTTGTAGAATGTTGCCACTGTGAAGATCATGATGAATGATATTTCTTTGATGAATTTGCTTTAAACCTTTAATAATATTATGAAGGATTTCTATTTTACTTTCCCATTTTAAATATTTAAATGTTTTTGATATATAATTTTGAAGACTCCCATCCTCAATATATTGCATTACACATATATACTCTTTTGTAATTTGATCTTGTGTTAATCCATAATTTTAATTATCTGAACATTATGATGAAACATAACATAATTTTTAAACTAAAGAAAAAATAAATATTTAATTATGAAAAATAATAATTAATAGAATTTTTTTTTCAAATAAAATTACTACCTCACTTAAAAATTCTTCTGAAGTATTTTGAGAATTATGTAATTTTTTCAATGCAACAATCCTATCTTTACAATGCCTTCCAATATAATCAGTGTATTTGTTACCATTTATCCAAGTAGCTTTGTATATAGTTGCAAATCCACCTTCACCTATCTTTTCAATATTTTTTATATCATAATAAGGAATCCATTGAAGATAACGTTCATTATCATAACTTGTTGCCTCAAGTTGTGAACATTTGATTATTTTATCTATAGTTTCATTGCCACTAGTCCATCCTTCTGTTAATAACTTTGAATCACAATATTTGCACCATTCCCAATTAGTTTTATATTCATTACAAGTTGAACATGCGTCATATTCTTTTATTATATCAAGATTGAATAATTTTGCAAGTATTTCGAATATTCCCATGTCTAAATTGATCAACTGTTGTGGATCCCGCAAATCTTAATCCAAAAATAGTAAGTCAATTTATGTAAAAAAAAAATAGCACGTGAAAAATATTATGAAAGCATATTATTTTTTGTTAAAAAGTTTAAGATAAATAAATATTTTATTACAATTATTAACAATTATTAATAAAGACGTGAAAAAAATTTTTAATTTTGGAATAGAACATTTTTTGTCTGGTATAAATATTTCGAAAATCTTGACAACTATTTATTAGACTTGGAAATCTCGTTTATTTTTGTCAAACGCGCTAACCTACAGTTTTTCAAAAAAAAGAAATCTTCTACAGTCCGTTTTATAAACTATGCAACAATATGCAAATTACAATTTGCTATTTTATTATTTAGAGATTGCAATTTTTGAATTTTGCAAACTGCAGATTGCAAATTGCATATTGCAAAGGTTTGTTTCTGAACTTTTGGTAAACTGAATTTTTGGGGAAGAATGAGAGCAAAATTGAAATACAAAACATTGCGGCGAATAAAATTTTTTTTGTGTTGACACATCTCTTTTTTTTTTGAAAAATGTAAATAATAATAATGATACATTCGTTTATAAATTTTAATAATGTTCATTGATTGTTGTTGGCAATTAAAAAACCATTGATTTTGTTCTTTTCTGCTTATTAATGATTATAAAATAACATGGTGATAATTTTTTTCCCTAGATTGTTGTTAATTATTAATTAATATAATAAAAAAAAATAGTGCGGGTTTTTCCGCGATTCTGAAAATTATTTTGATCGTGTCACATATTCATATTTACGAAAGCCGGTTTACGTCGTATGACTGTACAAAAAGCACGTTAATGTTTAAATATGTATTGTCACCGATTAAATTTGATAACAATTATTTTTGTTTTTGCGTGGATCAGAATGAATAGGGGATCAACGAATTGATTTTGTTATTAGCGAATA